GTACCCCTGGTGCTGTAGATTGGTTTATAGGGTTTTTTTTTTTTTTTGGAGAGGTTTTTCACTATGGGGCATGTGTGCTTGCTAGACAGAGAGAGACAGAGAGACAGAAAGCGAGAAATCACCCCCCAGGGAGGATGGTCACACCACAATCCCTTCTCCTCCATTCTCTTGGGATCTTGCGCACACACGCACACGCGCCCAGCGTGAGTTTTAAGCCACCGGGTCCGGGACACGAACCGCGGTCGACTACGTGGGAGTCCAGCGACATAGCCATTAGGCTAACTGCTGGTTCCCTTGGCTTCTAGTTTTGTAAAGTATTGTGTCTGCCGCGCCACCATGGCTGGGCCAGCTAGTCCCTATTTACTGTATCAGACAGGGCGGCTCTGTAGCAAGCAATTCTCTTCACCGTTTGTAGATGAGGACATTGGGCCACAGAGAAGTTAAGTCATAGAGCCAGTAAATGGTCATGTCTGGGCTGCGATTTGAGCTCAGGCTTCCCTCATCCACCCCATCATGCTGCCTGTATGCCATCAGTCCACCATGACCTTCCAAGGCCTCCTCTCAAATCGTATCCTCCCTTGTCTCTCCAGACGGGCACGCTGCGGTTTTGCGGGACGACAGAGTTCGCCAGTGGCCAGTGGGTGGGCGTGGAGCTGGATGAACCTGAGGGCAAGAACGATGGCAGTGTTGGGGGCGTTCGGTATTTCATCTGCCCTCCCAAGCAGGGTCAGTTCCCCTGGGGCCCGGGGGGTGTGGGTGGGTGTCCATGCGGTAGTTCTAACGCTGCTGACTGTGTAACGGGCTACGGAGTGAGGGCACGGCCCAGGGCAAAGGTCTGGACAGCTCCAAGCCCAGGCTGTGTCCCCCCAGGTCTCTTTGCCTCGGTGTCCAAGATCTCCAAGGCTGTGGATGCTCCCCCCTCATCTGTCACCTCCACGCCCCGGACTCCCCGGATGGACTTCTCCCGTGTCACCGGCAAAGGCCGCAGGGAACACAAAGGTCAGAAAGGAGAGCCCTGGGGGTGGGAAGAGCCAGTCTTGGGGATGTTCTGTGGTTGCCTTGGCTTCTGAGACTCGTGTTCTCCTTTGACTAAAACTAGATTTAGAGGGTCAGGTCTGAGCTCCTGACTTCCGTGACTCAGTGTCTCACTGCTCAGTACTTGCCTCACTCAATTCCTGGAGAGACCTGTGGATGCCCTGCCTTCTGTGACTGGCTTTCCTGTCAGGCCCAAAGTGTCCTCCCTGCTTTAGGAAAGAATCTGAGTTTCATAACTTACTCTCAGACCCACTCCCACCTCATCTTTTTTTTGAGAGGTTTTTGCTGTAGGGTGTGTGCGCTCCCCAGAAAGAGACAGAGAGACAGAGAGACAGGAAGTGAGAAATCACTCCCCAGGGGGATGGCCACACTGCAGTCCCCTCTCCTCTATTCTCCTCTCGGGATCTTGGGCACACACACACACATACACCTGGTGTGAGTTTAAGCCACCAGGTCCGGGACTTGAACCACGGTCAACTACATGGGAGTCCAGCAACATAGCCATTATGCCAACTGCTGGTCCCACCACTTCATCTTTTTTATTTTTTTTATTTATTAATTTTTTGGAGAGGTTTTTGCTATAGGATGTGTGCGCTCACCAAAAAGACAGAGAGAGACAGAGACAGAAAGTGAAAAATAACCCCCCGGGGAGGGTGTGTGTGTGTGTGTGTGTGGCCACGCCTCAATCCCTTCTCCTCCATTCTTCTCTCAGGATCTTGGGCACGCACGCACATGCACCCGGTGTGAGTTTAAGCCACTGGATCCGGGACTCGAACCTCAGTCGACTACATGGGAGTCCAGTGACATAGCCCTTACACTAACTTCTGGTCCCCCTATTTCATCTTTTTTTTTTTTGGAGAGGTTTTTGCTATAGGGCGCGTGTGCTCACCAGACAGACAGAGACAGACAGAGAGACAGAATGCGAGAAATCACCCCCCAGGGGGGATGGCCACATCGCAATCCCTTCTCCATTCTCCTCTCGGGATCTTGGGCACGCACGCACACGCGCCTGGCGTGAGTTTAAGCCACCGGGTCCAGGATGCGCACCGCGGTTGACTACATGGGAGTCCAGCGACATAGGCATTACGCTAAATGCTGGTCCCTCCCCCTATTTCATCTTAACAGGACAGTTTCTGGGGGGGAGCCAGACAGTAGCATGGTCATTAGGATGCCAGCATCCTACATAGCTGACTCGATGGTTTGAGTCCCGGACCTGGCAGCTTGAAAATCATGTCCAGCATGTGTTTCTGCACACCCAAAATCCCAAGAGGAGAATGATTGTGACATGGCACCCCCCTAGGGGATGATTTTTCACTTTACCCCTCTTTTTCTCTCTTCAGCAAATGCATGCACTCTATAGCCAGAATCTTTAAAAAAAAAAAAAAAAAAAAAAAAAGACAAAGAAAAAGAGGCAATTATTTCTGGATTCTCGACTTCTGTCTGTTTTTCTTTGGACCCATGTATCCTCAGCTTTGAGTAAATATTTAAGGGTTCTTCAGGTTTTGAGCTGTTTCGTCTCAGGCTTAAAGCCCCTCTCTTGGTTCTCAAGCATCTGAGATTCAGTTTCCCTTTAAATCCAAAGCTCTCCCCCACCACCCAATTCTGGGGAAGTCTCTGGAGTTTCTCTGATTGGACAAGGTTTCTGCCTTGGAGATTTCCAGGTGGCAGAGGGTCCCCAAAGGTTGGCATCTGGGGCTCCACCCCTACCCCCTGCACCCTCTCTCCCCAGGAAAGAAGAAGTCCCCATCATCCCCATCTCTGGGCAGCCTGCAGCAACGTGAGGGAGCTAAGGCCGAGGTTGGAGACCAGGTCCTGGTTGCAGGCCAGAAGCAGGGGATCGTGCGCTTCTATGGGAAGACAGACTTTGCTCCGGGTGAGGAGGGACCTCTGGGCTGGGAGGCAGGCGGGGCCTGCAGGCATGCTGACACTCTCCTGCTGCAGGTTACTGGTATGGCATTGAGCTCGACCAGCCCACGGGCAAGCATGATGGCTCTGTCTTTGGCGTCCGATATTTCACCTGCCCCCCAAAGCACGGGGTCTTCGCGCCAGCATCCCGTATTCAGAGGTGAGCCCAAACTGCAGCCTCCAGCCCTGGGCATCAGGGTTGATCCCCACAGAAGGTCTCCTGTCCTCGGACCAGCAGGACACCAGGGATAACCTCCCACATGCTAGTTCTTTCTTCCTAGGCCCCCTGGGGCTCAGCTCCCAGTCAGACCCTGGCCTCTTGTGGCTCTGACTTCTGTCACCCCTTGTGTCTCCTCAGGATTGGCGGATCCACCGATCCCCCTGGAGATAGTGTTGGAGCCAAAAAAGTGCATCAAGTAACAAGTGAGTTGGGGGTAGGGTGTGAGGAGGAATGTGGGTCTGGGGATGAAAGGACGGTCATGGGGTCCCAGGTGTGTGCTGGTGACAGAATCTCTGGTACTTTATTGGGGATATGGAGTCCAGGAAAATGATGAGACATGGCCCCAAAGGGAAAAGGTACTATAGGGTGGTATCCAGGTAGGTACTGGTAGGGACATGGATAGGTATTAATGACAAGGAGTCTGGGTGGGTACTGAGAACATGGGGCAGTCTAAAATCCTCTCACCTGAGACCCTGCCCTCCTTTCCAGTGACGCAGCCCAAACGCACGTTCACAACAGTCCGGACCCCAAAGGACATCGCATCAGAGAACTCTATCTCCAGGTGCGTGGCCAAGCCCTGTCCTCTCTCCCATGGGACATTCAGGGAGAGGCACCCACAAAGCCACAGGACACAGCAGCCTGGAGCTCTGCTTGGGGCTGGAAATAGAGGCCAGGAAACCGGTGACTTGTAAGCATGCCCAGAAACAGCCTTTAGGGTAGAGGGCCTCAGGCTGAATTCTGGTGGCTCCCACTTTGAGGGGGCAGGTAAAGGAAGCAGAACACTCCACTACACATGAGCCTAAGAAGACACGGGCAGAGAGGTAAAGGTGGAGTCCACAAAGGCCAGATCCCAGCCACTGGAGGGGCAGGAAGGGGGTGAGGGAGCCAGAGGCTCCTGCACCCACATCAGGGTGTGACCCGGTTCTCCTCCTCAACAGGTTGCTCTTCTGCTGCTGGTTTCCCTGGATGCTGAGGGCGGAGATGCAGTCTTAGAGGCCCTGGATATCCGACAAAGAGACAGAGTCCCCTCTAGCATCCTGACACAAGGAGCCCCCAAGTCACCCTGAGATAGATTCCCAGTAACACATCCAGAATAGAGATCCCCATTAGCCAGCCCTCGATCACTGAGGCCCCATTATTAACAGATTTCCCCCATGATAACCCCCAAATAACCCCTTGTCACCCAGAGATTCCCTGAGTAGCACCTTCAGGCTAGTCCAGCCCCTCAGAGCAGACCTCCCCCCCGATGAACAGATTTTTACATCACCCCAAATGACGGTGACCCTCTCCACATAATGCTCTACAACTAAACATTTTTGAGTCCCTCATCACTAGATCAGAAACTCCACCATTAACAAGGATTCCCCCCACCCCAGTCCCCTTGAAATTAATATAGGTCACACTTCCAGAGTAACAGACCTTCATTTTGCTATCCCCCATTTAACATCAATCCTCTTGAGATGTTGTGACCCACCACGGTTTCCCCAAAGCCCTTACATGCCAACACCAGAGACTCCTTCCATCCCGAGACCTTTGTTCTTACCCCTCAAGAAGAGACCCACCTTAACCAGCCCACTGTCACCTCCAATTTACAGACACTAAAAGAGTCCTGGAAGTGCTAATTACAGGACCTCCAAGTCTTCCTATTCACTGCACCCTTGAGAAACCCCCAGTGCCTTGTATGAAGCCCACCCCACATGGCCCATAGCCTCTGTGCTGGCCAGGCTCCCAGAAAATTCTCTATTTTTTAACTAATGACTATCCCTTTGGGGAACCCCAAAATTTAGAGGCCCCATTCTGAGACTCTGGGAATCCCAAACCCCAGAGTACATATGTCCCTAACTTCATGTGCCCCTAAACCCTATAGCCACTAGAGGACTCCTAAGGTCCTAACTCCCAGGACCCCCAAATCATATACTTCCTAAAATCCCCAGGGAATCCCAAATTTAAAAATCTAGTCCTAAGCCCCCAGAAAACCCCAATCATGATGTTCTTGTGCCTGGGATGGAGGAGACTAGTCAGGATCACGTTCCAGGCTCCCAGGGTACCTCAAGCTCTATTCACAGGCACCAAGAGACTCCAAACAACAATCTCATCCCTGGAAACTGGAGGACATCAATGCCCTGAATCCATGGATCTCAAGACACCCAAATTCCAAGAGCCCCAGCCCCAAAGGAACCCCCAATCCTAAAGTCTCCATCTTACTATATGGAGGGGCCCCCAGGCCCTGAGAGGATCCCAAAATCTGGAGCCCCCATTTCAATCTATGTTCTGGTCACAGGTCCGAGATACATATCTGAGTCACTGGCCCCAAAGGACCTTGTAGCACCTGGGCCTGATCAACAGCCTGAGGAAGAACCTGAAGGCCCACGGGGTCCAGGGTGGACCTGGGGCCCTGACTACCAAGGACAGCTCACGACTGCCCCTTCACTGCATGTCCCCGAACAGCATGACCCCTGCCCTCTTCAATAAAGACGTTTCTATGGCCTGTCTGCGTCCGGTCATTGCGGGTTGCTGCCCCATGAGTATCCCTGCAAGGGGAGGATGGAAGAAGCCCTCCCTTCATTGTCGCCTTCCAGCGGCAAGGGCATGGTGGTTTAGCCTGGGGGGAGTCCGAACAGCCTCTGGCGTCCTTCCCGCCATGGCCACGGCTGCACCGCCCATCTGAGCCAACTCGGCGGTATGGATGGGTTCAGCTCTGCGGTTCTGGTTGGCCGGCGCCAGAAGACCCATCCCCAGCAGGTTCCCAGTGTCTCGGAGGCCGGAGGCGCAGCCTATCCCTGAGCGAGAGGCCAGGGGCGGCCGAATGCTGAGCCGCGCGCCGATTGGGTGGAAGGCGGGCCCTTAAGGCGTCTGAGAGCTCCCATTGGCCTGAGGACTCTCGTCACTAGTGTGGGGCGGAAGCAGCTGGGAAGGGGATGCGGGTGTTGAATTTGGAATTTGGAGGGGACGCTGGTGGACGGTCAGTTTGGGGGATGCCCGGGGCGCATAGATGGGTGTCTAGGAGAGCTGAGGGTGGCGATCCGGGGAATCTCACAGTGGGATCCCTAAAAGACTCGGAGCCGGAATCTGAGGGTTTTGAGAAGAGTCGGATTCAGGGCTAAAAGTCCAAAGGTGCTGGGGAGAAGGGGGGCTTGGAAAGGGAAGTCTGAAGGAATTCATAGTGGGGGGATCCGAGGAGGCTCGGACTGGGGAACAATGCTCCAGAATGGGAGATCTGAACGAGTACGGGCCGGAGGAGGGTCCATGGGGCCTTGGATGTTGTCAGATGGCCGAGCCCATGGTCTCTCGCCTGGAGCAAGGTCTCACGTTAGGTGTTTAAAGGAGCTCTGGGGTCAGAGAATGTTCTCTGTGAGGATTGAGAAGGCAGACGTGTAGTTGGATGGCCCTTGGAAAGCGTTTGGGAGGAGTGTCTGGATGTTTTTTGTGTCCACGCAGTGAGCTCGGGGGGCTGCGCTCTGCGGCTTTTGAGATGCCAAGGACTCGGGTTTTAGAGACCCAGTAAGTTTCACAAAACGGTGAGGTTAGGGCACGGCTCTAGCCTACGATGAGGAGGAAAGCTGAGCGTGGGATGCTTAGTGACTTCAGCATGTCCTCCCCTCCCCACAGGACTAGGTGCAAGGAGTTGATGTCAATGGAGGAGCAGGACGCCAGGGTCCCATCCTTGGAACCATTCAGGGTGGAGCAGGTTGTCAGGACTGGGGACGCAGAGGGTGAAGGTGGGGACTAGAGGGTGGAAGGTGGTGTGGGATAGGCAGGTTGGCTTCTGGGTTTGTGAGCTGGGACTACCCCCTCCCTGCAAATTCATTCTTACCCTCAGAGTCCAGCCCCACTCTCTCCCCACTCCCACCCGGAATGGGTATTAATCCCTCAACTTCAGACCTGTTCTGTCTGAAGACATCCCGAGCCTCTTTCCAGAGAGAGAGAGAGAGAGGTTGCTTGGCAATGATGGGGACCCTGCATGGGTTGGTGGGCTACACCTTCAGGGGGTCTCTCTATTCTAGGCACCGCCTGTAATTTACTATGTCCCTGACTTCATCTCCAAAGAAGAGGAAGAGTATTTGCTTCGACAGGTGACCACAATGCCCTTCTGGTCTGTTTCCCCCTTCTCATATCCCTTCCCAGACCCCAGGCCCTGTACGAGAAACGCCAAGGATTCAGTGATGATCCTAGCAGAAAGGAGACGATCATACAGCATCTCTCCCATCCTCCCTGTCCCTCTCTCAGCACCTGCTAGGGAGTTTTAGAAAAAGCCTCCTTTTCTAGGAAGTCTAGTGGGAACCAAACTGATTCTTTGCAAGGTGATGGTTATCTTGAAGCTTAGACTCCCTGTATGGATAAAGCCCAGTCAGGCCTCCAAAATGAGGATGTTACTGAGATTAGATTCCTTGTTCTGGAATACTCCAATGTAACCCCAGTGTCTGAGGAGCAAAGATGTTCCAGAGCTCAAACTTTCTGTGCTGAGGTAGTCCAATCTTGATTTTTCAGAGGAAAAGAGGTTATAGGGCCAGCCAGGTGCATGGTCGTTAGGGCAGCTGGATCCCACATAGCCAACTGTATAGTTCAAGTCCTGGACCTGGTGGTTTGAAAAACATGCTGCGTGGTGTGTGTGTGTGTGCCCAAAGTCCTGAGAGGAGAATGGAGGAGAAGGGATGGTTATCTCCCTGGGGAATGCTTTCTCACGTTCTCTCCCTCTTGGTCTCTGGTGAGTGCATGTGACCTATAGCAAACCAAAAAAAAAAAAAAAGGAAAGGAAAGAAAGAAAATAAGGTTATAAACATGCTGAGAGAGCCCAGTCCAGCCCCCTGAGATTACGGAATGAAGAATTTAGCATTCCCATTTCTGTGCTGAGATAGTTTAGGAATCAGAATGTTACAGAGTCAACTCTTCCCTGTGCCAAGATAGCTCAGCATAGACCCAGAGTCTTAGGAACAAGGACTCGGGAACAGACCACCTATTCCAAGATGGCCCAGCCTGTGTTCTGTTCTTGAGGTTTGGGGAAAGAAGAATTCATAAAGCTCAAAGTCTGCACTGGGACAGTCCTTTGCAGCCTCACAGTCCTAGTTACACACAGATGTTCCCACAGAGGTCAATCAAGTTTAGCTACGGAACAGACTCTTACGCCGTGATTGCCCTTTCCAGCCCATTCTTAGAACTGAAAAATGTACAAATCTTAGAATCCCTGGGGGCCAGCCAGTGGCATGGAGATGAAGGAGACGGGATCCCACATGGTCCACTGCACAGTTCAAGTCCTGGACCCGGTGGCTTGACAATAGGCAGAGATGTAGAAGAGATTGCAGCACGATCATTCCCTATGGGGAGTGCTTTCTCACTTTCCCTCTCTGTCTCTCTACTGAGTGTATGCATCCTCCTGCAAAATTAAAAAAAAAAAAATCCCTAGGCCAAAATAGCCAAGTCTAGCCCCATAACCATGAAGAGACAGGATATTGTTGACTAGGATATAGAATTCTTGGATTGCAATAGCCCATTCTTACCCATGGGCTCTTAGAGTGAAGGGTTTTCTTTTCTTTTTTTTTTTTTTTAGAATTATTTATTTAATTTTCATTTATTTATTTATTTATTTTTAATTTGAACAGCTAGAACAGAGAAAGAGTGAAAGAGGGAAAGTGAGAAAGCAAGCCACCAGGTCCTGGGACCAGCAGGTGGCATGGTGGTTAAGGTGCTAGACACTTCCACATGGCTGACCATGGTTCGAGTCCTGGACCTGGTAGCTTGCTTTCTTGCTTTCCCTCTCTCTCTTTCTCTGTCTGTGTGTCTCTCTCTCTGGCCAAACTAAAATAAGTTAATGAATAAATAAAATTAAGTAATTCTTTAAAAAAAAAAAAGAAAGAAAGAAAAGAAAAGAAAGCCACCAGCTCCGGGGGTCGAACAGTACTCAGCCATGTGGGAATGTCCAGTGCCTTAACCACCACACCACCTGCTGGTCCCAGCAGTGAAGATTTTCAAAGTACTTTTGCTGTACTGAGAAGCCCGTTTAGCCCCCCCCCCCCCCCCCCAGGCAATAGGAACAAGGAGGTTCCAGAGCTCAGACTGTGCTCAAATAGCTCAGGAATCAGGAAATTAGAGACTGGCCCCAGTAGACTGAGTAAAGCACTTGTGTAGTCCTGGTTCCTTTCCTCAATCCTGGTAGACAGATGGGCTTTGGGGCCAAAGGCCTCTCCAGAAAAACAAAGCCCTGAGAACACATGACCCCAGAGAACAACCCCTCAGATACTGAGATGACCCACCTCCACCCCAGGTAAAGGCCCCCGTGTTGGCCTGTGTGGGAGAATCATGGAGGGATGGTCCTGAAAAAAGAGTGACCCCTTTCCCACCTCCTAGGTTTTCAATGCCCCAAAGCCAAAGTGGACTCAGCTCTCTGGAAGGAAGTTACAGAACTGGGGTAAGTGTTCCTGGCTGCGGCATGGGTGGTTCTGGGATGTGAACTGGGGTAGGAGCCTCAGATACAATGGTCTCAAGAAAATGGGGGTTCCTGAGGGTCCCAGGCATCCCAAGGGCCAGAAGGATTCTGAGGGATCATTGGAGGGCCTGAGAGGTTACAGATATCTTGGTGAGCTGGGAGTTTCCCAAAGGGCCCAGTGGTCTAGAGAAGTCAGGAAACCTTTGAAGGGCCCACTGGCAATCTCCAAAGGGTCAGGGATCCTTGAGGGGGGTCAGGGTGCTTCCAACCACTGGGATATCCCTAATGGGGTCTCCAGGTGCCAGGGCTCCTTGGTTGGGTGCTGTCAGAATCCCATTGCGTTCCCCAGGTGGGCTCCCCCATCCCCGGGGGATGGTCCCTGAACGGCTGCCCCCATGGCTCCAGCGCTACGTGGACAAAGTGTCTGATCTCAGCCTTTTTGGGGGTCTCCCAGCTAACCATGTCCTCGTGAACCAGTATCTGCCTGGGGAGGGCATCATGGTAACCTCATACTCTCATCCAGACCCCCACAGTATCAGCCTTCCCCCAGACCTCTGAGCTACCATGGGCAGCACCATGTTCACCCACCCTCACACTCAGCGAGCAGCCATGCACCCCACCCTGGCATTCATGTCCTGTCCCCAGCTTGGGAGCCTCCCTTGAAACCCGAGGGTGGGGGGTATGGACTCCTGCCCCGCCCAGCCCTGGTGCCCACTCCCCAGCCCCACGAGGATGGACCACTGTACTACCCGACCGTCAGCACCATCAGCCTGGGCTCCCACACCATGCTGGACCTCTACGAGCCGCGACAGCCTGAGGATGATGACCCTACAGAACAGGTGGGCCCTGAGATAGTGTCCCAGCCATTTGTGGGTGCTCCAGCATCCCACATCCTACGACATGCCCCATCTCACCTGCCTTTGGGATACTCCTGGCTCCCAAACACCTTCCCCTGTCCTCTGACGGGATACACCCAACTCCTCCAGACACCTAAGCTGTTTGCTTGCAGAGTACCCTAAACACCATGATAATCCACAGACAACCCAGTACCCCTCCCTGCTGAATGGATGTTCCTGGCACCCCACAGAACTCCCGCCCCCACATGCTCAGGGTGTCCCTACAGCCCAGAGTACTCGTATACTCCAGGAAGGGCGCCCCAGTATTTCAGCAGACACTGACATCCTTACACACTCTACTGTCCTCCCAGTCCTCTGCCCCCTGCACCAGGCACCCTAACGGTGACAATCCTGCCACTCCAGTAGTGGTCTTCGGTACAGGGTACCCTCAGGTTCTTGTCCCCTCCACACATGACTGCCTGACTGGCTGCTCAGAGATTTCTCACTCGCTCCCCCAGGTATCCTGACAGCACCTTCTTTTTTTAGTAATGTTTTCTGACACCCCAGTGTTCACAGAAGCGCCCCTGGACACCCTGGCCCTCTGCTCCTTGGGGCTTTCCCTGTACCTCTCCCTGCTTCTGTTGCTGTGACACCCCTCCTGCTGTGCAGTGTTCAGTACACCCCAGTGTCCTGGAATAGCGCCACCCCCATCTTGGCCTTATCTCTGTCCCCACCACGAGAGGGCAGTAGTTCTCAGCCCAGCGCAGGTGCCCCGGGGTCTGGGGCCCACACCAGGGAGGTCCCAGCTGCCGCTCTCATGCCTGCTGGCCCTGTGTAGCCCCGTCTGCAGCCTAGTTCTGCCCCCTCCGGAGGGGCTTTTCCCTTCAGGGCAGCCCCAGCTCCAGGTCACCCGTTTTCATTCCTGGGTCCCCAAAGATGCTTGCTCCTCAGGCTTTCCTCCTGAGAACTTGCTGACCCCCGAAGCCGGCTGCCCTGTCGCCCACCCTCTGACCTCTGGAGATCCACTGACTATCCCCTGCCTGCCCCGCAGCCCCGGCCCCCGCCCCAGCCCACCACCTCGTTGCTGCTGGAACCGCGCAGCCTGCTGGTGCTCCGTGGTTCCGCCTACACACGCCTCCTCCACGGCATAGCTCCAACCCGCGTAGACACGCTCGACAGCGCCTCCCTGCCGCCCAATGCAGCCGCTTGCCCGTCGGCGCTGCCGGGAGCCTGCCTGGTGCGCGGCACCCGCGTTTCACTGACCATCCGCCGCGTGCCTCGCGTGCTGCGCACTGGCCTCCTGCTCGGCAAGTGACTGCCAGGCCTCAGGGCCGCTGGGATTCCCGCCTCCTGCCCCCTCCGGGTGGCCTCAGCTCTGATCTGGGAACCCTGGGGAAGAGGCAGCTCCCTTGGTTTATTTATCTTCCCAGTTATCTTGTGGGAACCACAAGAGAAAATCCCGTTCCCAATAAACCAAAAACATCTTTCCTTGGTTTCGATTTTTTTGGAGTGGGAGGCAGAAGCTTGGGTTCCAGAGGGGTGCTGCATCTGGGACCGTGATACAGGAAGTAGCCCCTGGGGACAGACGTATGGGTCGCTGGGTGGAGCAGAAGCCAGGGCTCTTGGGGGGAGAGTTACATCTGCCACCCCTTGCGATGGGGTGGGGTGATCCAGAGAGGTTTAGCTAGGGGTTCCTCTAGGGAGGAAGGAGTTAAGTGGCTCTGCTGTCACCTGAGCTGGGCATCAAATTACCTGGGTCCAGGTTCTAGGAAGGGGTGGAGCAAGCCTGGCCCTGGGCCTCTTCGGCAGCCTCAGGCCTGGGTAAGTCGTTGAGGAGGTCTGGAGTGAGCACCCTTGGCCTGGGAAAAGGCTTTTACTGGGTATCCTCACCTGACTCTGTCCCCAGGCCCTCAGCTATGGCCCTGTCCCCATCTCTGGGCCCTAGACTACCCCCAGAGTCCTCCCCCCATCCCCCGGGAGCCCCTAGGGAGCTGAATGTTGCTGGCTGCGTCATCTGCCCTGCATCTGGAGAGGAGAGAACCAGGTGGGGGCTGGGGCTTGGGAAACTTGGTCCCAGGAGGAAGGGGGCAGGGGCAGGGGCCAACCAGCACAGGAGATACTGTGGCAATGAGCCCCTGGGGAGGGCAAGGGGCTAGGGGTGGGCTTAGGGAGGTGTGGAAAATGAGACTTGTTGATGTCCCCTACCTCCCAGGCCAGAGCAGGCCCAGAAACTGAGGCAGGACTCCTCCGATCCTCCTGATCACTTCCAGGGTGGGCTGAAGGGCACCGAGCCCACCGCTGGCTCCCCAAGACTGCCAACACCCTCTTCCCATGAGGACCCAGCAGGGGGCAGACACGGTGAGGTGAGCCAAGGTGAACAGACCCCTGCACTAGCCCACACCTCCTCTGTGTCCCCCAGAATCTGTTCCTGCACATGGGAGGGACGAGGTGATGATTCTGGAAAGGCCTTGGGCATTTGTGGGAGGAAGAATGTTCTGGAAAATGTTCCATTACCAATCAGTTTGGGAGTGCATTCCAATATTTGAACCACTAGGAGGGAAGTATTTAATCTTGGCCCCTGATGCAGCTGCATGGCTACTGGGGGTACCCAGACCCATCACCCCCTCCCTTTCCAGACCCCAGCCCTCACATATCCAGGTTTCCAGGAGCCTTGAAAACCTGGAGACCTTAAATTAGATGTCCCCAAGCTTGGCTCCATGGAGAAGGCCCACAGGAGAGAGCAGCCCTGGCATAGACCCAGAGGTGGACCCCGCTACAGAGAAGCATCCAGAAAGCAGAAGCCTGCAAGAAGGAGGGTGGCAATGGGAGAGGGCATAATATCTCCCAGGCCAGAGCAGGCCCAGAAACTGAGGCAGGACTCCTCCGATCCTCCTGATCACTTCCAGGGTGGGCTGAAGGGCACCGAGCCCACCGCTGGCTCCCCAAGACTGCCAACACCCTCTTCCCATGAGGACCCAGCAGGGGGCAGACACGGTGAGGTGAGCCAAGGTGAACAGACCCCTGCACTAGCCCACACCTCCTCTGTGTCCCCCAGAATCTGTTCCTGCACATGGGAGGGACGAGGTGATGATTCTGGAAAGGCCTTGGGCATTTGTGGGAGGAAGAATGTTCTGGAAAATGTTCCATTACCAATCAGTTTGGGAGTGCATTCCAATATTTGAACCACTAGGAGGGAAGTATTTAATCTTGGCCCCTGATGCAGCTGCATGGCTACTGGGGGTACCCAGACCCATCACCCCCTCCCTTTCCAGACCCCAGCCCTCACATATCCAGGTTTCCAGGAGCCTTGAAAACCTGGAGACCTTAAATTAGATGTCCCCAAGCTTGGCTCCATGGAGAAGGCCCACAGGAGAGAGCAGCCCTGGCATAGACCCAGAGGTGGACCCCGCTACAGAGAAGCATCCAGAAAGCAGAAGCCTGCAAGAAGGAGGGTGGCAATGGGAGAGGGCATAATATCTTGGCCCGCCGGTCCTGACTAGCCCTCGGTGTTCTCTAGCACACCATCTCTGGCCTGGAGGTATTGGAGACCGAGCAGGACAGCCTGCACCTTTGTCTACTGGGGCTGGGTCTCCGGCTGCAGGACCTGGAGAGAGGCCCGGGGCGCTGGGTATTGGCCCAGAGCAGGATGGTCCAGCTACAGGTGGGCAGGGGGAGGCCGGGGTGTGGGAGGTGGGGCCTCAGAAGTGGGTGCCAGCTTTCTGGGTTGAAAATGGGTTTATTACATGTCCCAGGTCTCTGGATGAGAAATGGGGTGGGGGAGACTCCAGGTGCAGAGCCTCTGGCATCCCTGGTGTGTGGGGTGATGTCCAACCATTGTCCCCAGGCCCTACAGGAAGATCTACGAGGGGCAGCTGAGCGTGTGGATGCACTGCTAGCATTTGGTGAGGGACTGGCCCGGCAGAGTGAGCCTCGAACCTGGGCGTCCCTGGAGCAGATCCTGAGGGCCCTTGGAGCCCACCGAGATGCCATCTTCCAACGGCTCTGGCAGCTGCAGGCCCAGCTGGTCAGCTACAGCCTGGTACGGCCCACCCTGGAGGTCCCTGGCCCAGACCCAATCTCACAACGCCCATGACGCATATCCTCTAACCCAGGTGTTCAAGGAGGCCAAGGTGCTGGACCAAGACTTGGAGGTTGAGGGGGATTCAGATGGGCCAGAACCTAGTGGGATCTGGGGGCACTGGGCACCCGGTGGCCTCCCCATTCCTGCAGAGTTGGAGTGGGACCCAGCAGGGGACGTTGGACGCCTTGAGCCCTTGAGCCAAAAGGCAGCTCGGACACCAGGGGCTCCCTGTGAGCTGTGTGGCCATAGGGGTCTCCAGGAGCGAGGACAAGACCTTGAGGTGAGAGCAGTGCCCCTTTAGGGACCCCTCCCCAACCAGGCACTCTCAGGGGACCTCTGTGTACCTTCTAGCACTGTCTTTTCCTTTCAAGGACATCTTGGTGCTGCTGTATTCCCCTCTATCTTATCTCTTGGTGTCTCCATGTTTTCCTTGCTCTCTCCATCTGTCTCTGTCTCTGTCCCCCTCTGTCTCATTGGTCCCCTCTTTCCTGTCTGTCTCTGTCTGTATCCTCAAACTCACCTCTTCTCACACTGCCCCTCCCTTACTGAGTTACAGGCACACCCAGGCACTCTAGGGCTTCTACAAACATGCCAACTTCACTTCCATTTCCAAGCCCCCAGCTGCATGCCCTGCTCACCTCCTCACTCCATTCCAGCCTTTCCTATCACCTCTTAGAAGCGTGCCTTGGGCTCCAAACACCAGCTCTTCTTACACAGTTTCCTAACAGCACTTGCCACCATCTACTTTATACGCTTCTTTATTAATTGATGCGCTCTCTCTCCTGCTAGAATAGAAGCTCCTGGGAGGCCAAGACTTTGCCTGTTTCCATCCCCACTGTGTCCCCAGCTCCTAGACTAGTGCCTGGCATGTAATAGATACTCTAAATATTAGTTCAATGAATAAATAAATAATGTCTCTCCTTTCATAGGTTCTTTGGTTCTGCCACTCTCGTTGTTTCTCCCATGAGATCTCTATTGCCCCGGAATCCATCTCTATGACAACCTACCCAACATTCCCCCTCCCCAAACATGTTTCTCTTGGTGGCTCTCCAAGAACCACACACCTGTCTCTTCCACAGGACGTGCTTGCCTTGGGCCTCAGCTACCGGAAACACTTAGCAGGTCACCGAAGAACCTCCCTGCTCCGAAGGCCTCAGGTAAGCTGGTCCCAAGCCAGGTGTAGGGCTCAGGAATCTTGATAGCCCGTGACAGAAACCCAACCAAAACTGAACAACACAAAAAAAGGGGGTGCTGTTTTGTTCATGAAACTGAAAAATCTAGGCACTGAATCGGAACCTCAGAAGCTCTCAGAGCTCTGTCCCTCCCTCTTTTGGGCTCTCCTTCCCCATGATGGCTCCCTTCTTAGCAAAATGACTGCTGCAGCCACTGCACACTGACTTCCCACTGGCCTGCTCACCCCAGGGGGAGGGGAGAGCCTCTGACCTACTAGCAACAGCCCAAGTCCCAGGCATGGGTTTGTGGGCTGATCTCCGAACCAACTGAAGTGCTCTGACTGGCTGGGTCTGGGTCACGCACCCAGTTATGGAAGTGGGAGCCAGTTTCGCGAGACCAGGAGGTCTGAGAGTGGGGATTCCACCTTCCAAATGAGCCACCGTTATCAGGAAAGAGGGACTGGGTGGAGGACAGGCAGCAAGAGACATCTACTACACGTCAAGGTGTTCCCAGTCCATGTGGGGTCCTGGGGCTAGAGAGGGTGCCAAAGAAGTAAGACCAGCCCTATAAGTCTGTGTTAGCACGTGGAAGTCCACACGAAGTGTCCCTTGCTGCCATTCTGCTGCTCGCTGCTGTCTCCCCTAGGACAAGAAGCAGCAAGCACGTCTCAGTCTCCAGGACGTGATGCTGGAGGTGGAGCCTGGGTGAGATGCTGGGAGTCGGGTCTGGGGTGTGGAAGAAGGGGCCCTGGTGGCGGCCACCATAACTCGTAACACTGTGTTTCCCTTCTTAGGGCCTCTGCTCCTGCATCCAGGCAGCCCCTGCCCTTCCTCCTTATCTTTCTCCTCGTCGTCTTGTTCCTGCTGGGTGCCACATTGCTCCTGTACCTGTCAGGGGGCCCCTGCTGCTCTCACTCCCGACTGGCCAGGACTCCCTACCTGATGCTCAGCTACGTCAACGGTCCCCCCCCAGTCTGAGTACACAGCTCAGGTGCACGTAATAAATGGCACTGTCAAAGGATGTGTGAGGACATTGGCACTGTACTAATGGGATGTGGCCCTGGTACGTCTGGACAGACCCAGAACTGAACCAGCCATCTTGGGCTTTCCCAGACCCTGACACAAAGATTCAAGCATAAGCTCTTTTATTGGGACAGTGGTTGGGGGTTGAGGACATGAGCCTGGGAGGGGAAAAAGCCAGAACTGGGTGAGCTAGCGAGCCGGCTGCTTCTCTGGGGACCTCTGAGGAACTGTGTGGAACACCAGAAGTCAAAGTTGTTCCATCCAAAGGGTGAGGAAGTTGTGGCATGTATTATTACTTTTAGTTTGCCAGAGGGTACGTGTGTTCAGTGGAGAAAGTGGGAAAGCACTCCCCATTGCCATGGGGAACAGTCATGCTGTAATCATTTCTCTCCCATTTCTCCCTCCTTTGGGCACGATGCACATGCACTCAGTGTTTTTCAAGTCACCAAGTCTGGGATTTGAACCACACAGTCGGCCATGTGGGATGCAGGTCCATAGGCTGGCCCTATTTTTTTTTTTTTTTTTTAGTTTATTTATTTCTAAATAAATGGGTGAGAGACACACACCCACAAGGTCTTCATGCAACGATCCATCCTCGTCTTAGCCAGCCACGATCATGGTTTCGCATGTCTTCACTCTCAGTGTACAAGGCAGCCCAAGACACGAACCTGAGACTGTTCTATGTGGCCTCAGCATAGCAGTGTGGTGGCACTCCTACTGTGTCATCGTGGCTGGCTAGCTGTGGCATTTAAGAGTTATTTAACTTCATTATCATTATTATTTTAATTTGACCAGAGAGAGACAGAAAGAGAGTGAAAGTGAGCAAGCAAGCTGCCAGGTCTGGGACTCAAACCATGGTCAGCCATGTGGAAGTCCAGAACCTTTAACCACCACACCACCGGTTGGCCCCTAGCTGTGGCATTTATATGCCAGCTCCTATCTCTCACTGTTAAGGACTCTTCTTGGGGAAGAACCTGCCTTTCCCATGAAGGCTTCTGCTTAAAAGAAGCACAGGTTCTTGCCACAGGAAGCTAGAGATAGTGGGAGAAAGAGGCAGGTGATGAGTGAGCTGCTAACAGCACCTGCTACAGCCCCGACTCCTGTCCATACAGGTGTTCTGCTCAAACATTCTATATTATGGGCTGGGCCATCACTGGCCCAGGACTGTGAACCCCCCTCCCCCTTCCCAGAGTCTTGATACCAGGCTGAATTGTCAGGGCTCAGTCCCAGAGCTTTAGGTAGAGGGACAAGAGATGGGAACAAAATCAGACTCAAAAACAGAGGCAGGATGGGACCAGCAGTTAGTGTAATGGCTATGTCGCTGGACTCGCATGTAGTAGACCACAGTTCACGTCCTGGACACGGTGGCTTAAACTCACGACGGGCGCGTGTGCGTGCATGCCCAAGATCCTGAGAGGAGAATGGAGGAGAAGGGATTGCGGCATGGCCACCCCCCTGGGAGATGATTTCTCGCTTTCTGTCTCTCTTTCTGGAGAGCACATGCAACCTGTAGCAAAAATCTCAAAAAAAAAAAAAAAAAAAAAGAGGAAGGAGCCCTGTGCGGAGAAAAAAAAAAAAAAAAAAAAAAGAGGCAGGAGCCCTGTGCTGAGTCTTGGACGTCCACTTAACAGAGATCCCCTCTATTTTTGCTTAATTTGCTATAGGGTGTGTGTGCTCACCAGACAGACAGAGATGGAGGTGGCTGGAAGGGGTATGAGAAAGCACTCCCATAGGGAGTGATAATGCTGCAATCCCTTCTCCTCCATTTCTCCTTTCGGAATTTTGGGAACACATGCCCTTGCACCTGGTGGTTTTCAATCCGTGTCTGCGACTCAAACTGAGATCAACAGGAGCTGGTTTAACCACTATGTTACCAGGTTGATCCCCTCTCCTCTAATTCTTACAACTACCCAATGAGGTAGCCCCACTTAACAGAATGGGAATAGCACAGAGGGGAACTCACTGGCCGAGGCTTCAGAAGCAGCAAGTGACCTGAAGCCCATTTCTCACCAACTTTAAACAGAAAGGAGAATTTGTTTTCATGGGTAAATGAGAAGTTCAGGACTTCACGCACAGCTAGAGCTCTCTGGCTGTGTTCCTATCCTAGTGGTGACCACAGTGTCCCCCAAAACCTCTGGTCACATGTCCCAACAAGTTAGCAGAGGAGTGTCACTCCTTTGTAGTTCCAGTCTAAGCCCCAAGGCTGGCTCCCTGGCTCAGGTCACATGCAGCACCTTGGGTGGGGCCTTTGTCAACCCTCCCTGAACCATGAGGCCTGGAAATGGGGGAGGGATGGGTTTCCAAAAATATCAAGGAGCTATTCCTAGAAGTAGGGGAAGGCTTGTGAGGTGGTGGGAGAAGCAGCAGATTCTGGAAGATTCCAGGTTCAGTGAAAAGTCAGGTCTATCCTTTCCAATCCTAGGAGAAACCTGCCCCCAACCAAGGAGGCTTGGACTTTCTGGGACCCCCAGCAAATACTGCAGTCAGAATCTTGGCAACGTTGACTCAAGAGACCCAGGAATAGAGCAAATCTGTGTGTTTCATCCATTAACAAATACAAATGCTGACTGTTGTGAGCCCTGGTCAAGGAGCAGCAATATGACAGTGAAAGGGGGCCAGCTGGTGGCGTGCTGGTGAAGGTGGCTGGGTCCCACATGGCTGACTATGTGGTTCAAGTCCCAGACTCAGTGGCTTGAGAAACAAGTTGGGTGTGTGTGCATGCTTGTCCAAACTCCCAAGAGGAGTGAGAAATGGAGAAGGGATTGTAGCTTGACCATCCCTTACGGGGGAAGGGGTGCTTTCTCACTTCTCTCTCTCCAGCGAGTATATGTGCCCTCTAGCAAATTTTAAAGAAGGACTGAAGAGGGACCAGCAGTTAGTGTAATGGCTATGTCGCTGGACTCCCACGTAGTCACCACGGTTCGAGTCCCGGACCCGGCAGCTTAAACTCATGCCAGGTGCGTGTGCGTGCGTGTCCAAGATCCCGAGAGGAGAATGGAGGAGAAGGGATTGCGGAGTGGCCATCCCCTCTGGGGGGTGATTTCTCTCTATCTCTCTATCTCTCTCTGTCTGTCTGGCGAGCACACGTGCCCTATAGCAAAAACCTCTCCAAAAAAAAAGGACTGAAGAAACAAAAAGACTGAAATCTTTGTCCTGTGAAGCTGACATTCTAGAGGGGAAGACTGACAATACATTAAATATGCGGTAGGCCAGATGGTGACAAGTGCTAAGGGGAAAAATCAAACAGACAAAGGGAAAGGAAGTACGATTTAAACAGGGCAGTTGAGGAAGACATCAGAGAGACAGCTTTGTCATTGTGTTTTATTGGGTCATTGGAAAAGTCATGATGCATTCTTGCATAGAAAAAGTCATGATTTTTCTGATAACGATCCAATAATTTTATGCCTTCAGAGCATACTATAGCAAGGAAATAACCACACAGACTCCTGTATAGTACTGTCTGCTGGGAATACAATGTGAGCCACAAATATAATTTTATTTCTAATTGCTAAAGGTACATAAACTTACTGGGGGTGGGGGGAGCCCCTCAGTCAGGAATGGTCACACAAGACTCAGATCCCATGATGAAGAATAATTAAGATAAGGCAGGAGATGGGACCAGCAGTTAGCGTAATGGCTATGTCACTGGTCAACCACATAGTCAAGCGCGGTTTGAGTCCTGGACCCGGTGGCTTAAACTCATGCTGGGCGCGTGTGCGTGCGTGCCCGCCCAAGATCCCGAGAGGAGAATGGAGAAGGGATTGCAGCGTGGCCATCCCCCCGGGGGGTGATTTCTTGCTTTTCTGTCTCTCTGTCTGTCTGGCAAGCACACGCGCCCTATAGCAAAAATCCTCCCCCCCCAAAAAAAAGAGATAAGGCAGGAGATAGGGATCTTAAACTTAAAGACAGGGTCAAGGCCCAAAGAGAGACACGGTAGCTTTACAAAAGATGGAGTCATAATGGCTGTTTTCACAAACAAAAGCTGGCTGCATTAGGACTCAAATACACTATAGCTAAGGGCAACAGTTTCTATTTACCAACAACATTCTAACAAGTACAGATTGCTGCTATGGTCTGCTGACCCCACAAAGAATGGGGTAATAAATCACTCAGACTACAATATAACCATTTTTTTAAGAATTATATAATTATATAATTTATTATCATTTTTAAATTTTGCCATACGGCACTTGTACTTACCAGAGAAGCAAAGTGAGAAAGCAAGCTGCCAAGTCTAGGACTACAACCGTGGTCGACCATGTGGAAGTGTTAATACCTTAACCACTATGCTACCTGCTGACCCAGTATAATTATTTTCGTACCTTAACCACTATGCTACCTGCTGACCCTGTATAATTATTTTCTAATGCCCACTTCCTTATTAAAAAAGCAGGCCCCCTATTCAGGCTATAAGATATAAACCCCAGTGTAAAGTACTTCACCTACAAACCATTTGGGACCTCTCCTTGCTATGAGAGCTGTTCTTCTCTTTTGTGGTTTTGGTTTTTTTCCCCTTTTCTTTCATAGAGGTTTTTGCCTTAGGGCATGTGTGCTCACCCCAGAGAGAGACACACACAGTAAGAGGGAAAGTGAGAAACCATTCCCCAAGGGGGATGACCATGCCGCAACCCCTTCTCCTCCATTCTCCTCTTGGGATTCTGAGAACACACGCACACATGCCTGGTGTGTTTCCAACTGCTGGGTCCAGGATTCGAACTGTGTTTGACGTAATGGGAGTCCAGCGCCTTTACCACTATGTCTCTTGCTGGCCTAGTTTCCATTTATTTAACTGACATGGGTGCAAATACAGCTTAGGGGTGCAAAGTGCAGTACCCCAAAGCATGTCCGGGGAAGATCCACATGGGGGTATGGGAAGGTTATGCCTATGGTCTATGGGCCTATCTCCCCTCCCTGCCCCAGGGGCTTACTGACAAAAATCCCAACTTTTAGCTAAGGGTTAACTTCAGCCAGGTTTGAGAAAGAAGTTCCCAGGCTTTGTGAAATACTGAAAAGGGTTTGAGAGCTCCACTACTGCCCCAGGGGTTACCAGCCACCTCAGTTCCATCTCTTTTCCTACCTTTCTACCCTCCATTAAGGAGTAAACTAGGGTCTCTTTGGGGTGAAGCCAGGAAGAGTCTCCTCCATGAATCTGCTTCAGGCAGTGTGCCAGCCTAGAGGGGTCCAGCCTGGAAGAGAGAACACCCCACAAGCACCCCCTCACAGAGGATCACATCCCAGGGCGTATGTGTGTTGGTGGGAGGCTTTTCAAAAATGCCCAGAACATTCACTTTGGCATTACATATTCTAAAATTAGAAAATACAGATTAGCATGACCACTGTGAAAAATCTCCAGATCATAAAATCCTTACGACTATTAATAGGGAAGTAAGCTCATCCCCAATTTTATTCCCTTTGTTAAACAGCTGTCCTGAGGGGGGGGGGGGTCACAGAAGTACGCTGCCCTTCAGCTTCATCCAGTAAAGGTCTTGAGGGGTCTTTAGTTGATCAGCTGGAGTGACAGACCCCTTGCTCCTTACTCATGATCCTAGTTTGTCACAATGAAGGAGACAGTTTTCCAAACAGGTACTCAGCGCTTCTCACCGTTCAGGGCATCTTGCTAAACTCAGCAAAGTCTGCTCTTCTCAGAGTTAAAGACCAGGCTCCTCCGAGAGCCAGGGGTGGGTGTGTTCTTGGGGGTCAAGAGAAGGGTGCCTCCGTCTAACTCCGGCCATCAGAGGGGCATCCCGGCTCCCCATGCCTTCGGGTAAACAGATTACAACTTGACATCCAGGCCACCCTAAGACCTCAGACGCTGGTGGGGAAGAAATGTGACCTGTCACCACGCAGCGCCATCTGGAGAGGTGGGGCATCTCTCACCGTCCATCACGGGACTCTCTAGGCCCTTACGTTGCCAGGAGGGATTCCCGTTTCCCCAGTCCGTGGAAACAGTCTCTAAAGACCTCTCACCTTCCTTCAGATGAGTTCTGATACCCCACAAAGTCAGGCGGGCACCCTGGTCCCCCTGCGCCATAGAGTGAGCTCTCTTCTCTGCCTGTCACCGACCATCAGGTCGGGTCACCGGTGCCCCCTTGCCGTCGTGAAGGCTCCTTGAACCGTCACCGTCGTCAGGGAGGGACTCCGGGGCCCGCGTGCCCCCCGGCTCCTCCTCCTTCGGGCCCCGCGGGCGCACGAAGGCGCCTATGGCCGTGGCGTGGCCGGAGCGCAGCAGCTGGAGCTGGCGCCGCCCGCGGCGGTACAAGTACTCGATGCGCAGGACGTCGGAGCGTGGCAGGCAGGCGTGCTGCCGGAACTCAGCCCGCACCCGCGCCTCGGCACCCCGCTTCCCCCG